GTAAACTTAATGATTAAAAGAGTATCAAGTGACTTGTAAAGAACTGCTGAAAAAATTTTCAGAAAGAGCAGAGTCAGTGAGACTCTACTTAGTCCTAGACCCAAAGACCAATATAAAAGATACCTTCAAAATGATACAGAAATCAGTTTAAAATACTTCAATAGAATCTGTAAACTCTACATTCCATTGTATTAACCACCACTGAGGTTTCAAAATGGATTTGTCACCTACAAGATATGATTTCCCCAGTATTCAAACCAATGAATCAGAAAACACAGCTTCATGCTTTCAGAGCCTACAAGAAAAAGGAATGTTATAGTACCTTATTTAAAATGTAGCCAAAATCACTTGACTTAGTTCAAGAATGGAACAAACATTTTTATAGAGTAAAATGACAATCTAGATAAAAGACCTAACAAGTTCAGAGAAGAACATAACTAGTGATAGGTGTGTGTGTTAGGGGTGGGGAGAGACTGAAAATTTAAATTTCCAAGTTTTAATAGAAATACAATAATAATAATTTAAATTCCAGATATCAAAATATTGGTAGAAAAGGAAGCTAAAGATTTCATGATAGAGGAAATGTTGAACAAAGAAGTTAAAAAGAAGAGTGGCTCATTCTACAACATTTCTAGGTATCAGGAAATGATAAAGAAGGGAGACTTGGTAGAAGTTAATAGAAAACTGGACCAAGAGATATGTCTTAACACAGAGGAAGAGATTACATAAACAACACAAGTTATTACCTACTCTTTCCTACTTAAGCAAAAACATGTGTACAATGAATTAAAATCCAAAATACAACTCAAGAGGAAACTAATGAATGGATAATGTGCTCCTGGCATAATGAGGATAATTTACCTATATCAATCTATCAATAGACAAGGTATTATACAGTCATGTGCTGCACAACATTTCAGTCAACAACAGACCACATGTAGGATGGTGGCTATACCATATAGCCTAGGTATGCAGTAGGCTATACCATCTAGATTTGTGTAAGTATGCTAAATGATGTTCATACAACAATAAAATCTCCTAATGACTTGTTTCTTAGAGCATATCCCCATTGTTAAGTAATGCATGACTGTGGTAAGGAGCCTGAAAAAAAAAGTTCTAGAAAGATCCCGACATGGGTCTTAAAAGGATAATACCTACTGTATTGTACAAAACAATGGTGAAATAAACTAACGGCAAACATGCTGAAATAAAGGAAGAAATCATTAGTTCTATCTTCCTCATCTAATGAATGGGTAAGCCACTTTTAATAGATGAAAAACTGGAAAAGAACTTAACAGAAAAAAGTTTTTGATTAGGGCAAAAGAGAAAAGAATGATATAAAGGAAAAACTGAAAAATGAAAATTCTTTCCCGCAAGATTATGGAAAATAACTATTAAAAAAAGAAAAAGATAAGAAAGCAGCTATGCAGGCATACTTGGGGCATAAATACAGAAGAGAGGATGAAGTGCTAGGACAATACCAGTTCTGATAAAGACAGAATTGCTGCAGCAAACATGCAGGGGCTTTGGAGAAAATTATGTTAAGTAAAATAAGTTAGGCACAGAAAGAGATATGCCACATGTTCTCACTCATGTGGAAGCTAAAAAGGTTGATCTCATAAAAGTAAAGAATCGAATGGTGGAAGGGAAGAGGTGGATGGTCAATGGATACAAAATTGTAGAGAATAGGAAGAATAAGATCTAATGTTCTATAGCAATATAGAGAGACTACAGCCAACAACAAATTCCCGTACAACTTTAAGTAGCTAGTCAAGAGGATGATGAATATTCCCAACACAAAGAGGTGACAAATGTTTGAGATGATGGATATGCTATGTGCCCTGATATGATCATTGCATACAGTCTAAATGTACCCAAATATCACACTGTATTTCATAAATATATACAATTACTATGGGTCAATTAAGAAAAAAGAAAAAGAAAAGAAATTTTCAGAGACAGAAGTAGATTGGAGGTTACCAGAAATAGGGGGAAGGAATAATGAGAAGTTATTGCTTAATAGGTACAGAGTTTATGTTTAGAATGACAAAAAAGTTTTGGATATAGATAGAGGTAGTGGTTACACAGTATTGTAAATATAATTAATTCCATCCAATTGTATGTTTAAAACTGTTTAAAATGAAATTCTTAAGCATGTTTTACCACAATAAAAAAAAAAAAAGAATTGATCACTTTTGGGGAGATGACATGTTAAACTACGAGTCAATCCTACAACCTTAAAGTTTCCGTTAACTGAAAGATGCTCCCAGAAAATATAATCAGATCTCACCAGAAAAAGGTACTCTTAATTTATATGCATCCCTTGAGAAATGCCTATTCAGCTCATTTGCCCATTTTTTAATTGGGTTATTTGTTTTTTTACTGTTAGGTTGAGTTCCTTGTATATTCTGGATATTAAACCTTTGTCGGATGCAGTTTGCAAATATCTTCTTCTACTCTGTAGGTCGTCTTTTCACTCTGTTAATTGTTTCTTTTGCTGTGCAGCAGTTTTTTTAATTTGATATAATCCCATTTATTTTTTTTTCCTTTTGCTGCCTGTGTTTGGGGGTCATAGTCATTAAATCTTTGCCCAGTCCTACTTCCTGAAGTGTTTTCCGTATGTTTTCTTTTAAGAGTTTTATAGTTTCAGGTCTTATATACAAATGGCTAACAGATACATGAAAAAATGCCCAACATCACTCAGCATCAGGGAAATGCAAATCAAAACCGCATTGAGATATCACCTCACCCCAGTTAGACTGGCTATTATCAAAAAGACAGGGAACAAATAAATGCTGGTAAGGATGCAAGGAAAGGGGAACCCTCCTACACTTGTGGGAGCATAAACTGGTACAGTCATTATGGAAAACAGTATGGAGGTTCCTCAAACAACTACAGACAGAACTGCCAGATGATCCAGCAACTCCACTGCTGGATATATACCCAAAAGAAAGGAAATCATCATGTCAAAAGGATACCTGCACTCCCATGTTTATCACAGTTCTATTTACAATAGCCAAGAGTTGGAACCAACCTAAATGCCAATGGACAGATGACTGGATAAGGAAAATGTGGTATATATATACTCAATGAAATATGACTCTGCCATAAAAAAGAATGAAATATTGCCATTCACAGCAACATGGATGAACTTAAGAGAAAATCATGTTAAGTGAAATAGGCTAAGCACAGAAAGAGAAATACTACCATGTCCTCACTCATAAGTGGGAGCTAAAAAAATTTTTTTTAAATGCCAATGGACAGATGACTGGATAAGGAAAATGTGGTATATATATACTCAATGAAATATTACTCTGCCATAAAAAAGAATGAAATATTGCCATTCACAGCAACATGGATGAACTTATGAGAAAATCACGTTAAGTGAAATAGGCTAAGCACAGAAAGAGAAATACTACCATGTCCTCACTCATAAGTGGGAGCTAAAAAAATTTTTTTAAAAAGAAGAAGAAAGATACAACAATCACAATAATATGCTGAACTCTCAAAAGGAGAGAACAGAACTGAGGTTACAAGAGGTAGGAAAAGGGAAGAGGAGTAAAGAAGGAACTGGTAAAGGGCCACGAAGAATGATCACACTGTATGTTGTTGAATATACTAATTATCCTGATTTGAACATCACATATTGCACACAGGTATTGATATTCAACTCTGTACCCTACAGATATGTACAATCAACTATGTTACAATGAAAAAAAAATTTATATGCATCTGTATTTCACCCCCACTCTACACTTCTAAGCTCACCTTTTATATTAGCAACAGAAGAAAAGCTGGCAAATGTTTTATTACTTTGCTAACCAAAGAGTAAAACCAGATCAAAGAACAAGGTAATGAAGATATTGTGTTATATATCTATTTTTCAGAAAATCACAACTTAGCCCTTGTAGCACAGAAGAAAAATTTTCTGTGTTCTAAAGTCTAAATTTGGGGGGAGGGGAGGTTGTGCGCACACAGGCATGTGTGTTAAATGTTCCAAAGAATACCTCTGAGGGGGTTGTAACCAATTCTATGAATATGTCTGAAAGTAGGAGTTAAATTTTTTCCACAAAGGATCAGACAGTAAATACCTTAGGCTCTGAGGGCAATACAGTTGAAACTACACAAGTCTGCCACTAGAGTACGAAAACAGCCATAGGTGATAAATGAACAAGCATGGTTCTGTTACAGTAAAACTTTATTTATGAACACTGAAATTTGAATTTCATAATTTTCATGTCAAAAAATATAAATCTTCATTTGATTTTTTTCCCACCAACCATATAAAAAGGTAAAAAAGCATTCTTAGCTTATGTCTATGCATAAACAGGCAGCAGGCCAAATTTGGTCTGTGGGACATAGTTTGTTGACCCTTATCTTAAAGAATGACAAACTTAATAAAATAATTTTCATAATACCACACAATAATTTGATGGTTTGTGGCTTTTCTTAATCCTAAGAAACAGAACTAAAAATTAGTTACATGAACATCATTAGAAGTACACTCTGTAAGAACAGACCAAAATATCTTGCTAGTTTGCTTTTAAGGAAAGACATGGAGAAATGCTCTAGGAAACAAGCAAAAGAATTATGATGTCAGATGCATGTTTCCCAATTGTTTGCTCCGGATGCTTTTCAAGGTAAAGTGAAAGGCAAGAAAGTATGAATGAGGAGGGTGGGTAGTATGATGATACTTCTGCTTTAAGAGACAAATTTTTCCAGCTATCTAGACATTTGCTTAAAAGAGAAAAACATCAGCTCTAGTTCACATACATGTAAGGTTGAGATATTGACATTAGACAGTATGCAACACAGTATACTGAGGCTCATATTATGTCTAAACAAAAATTGTTTCTTTCTTAAGCCAAAGAAAGCTGAGACATAGCGCCCACCATTCATGCCAACCATGCTATGAGGTCTATCATTTTCTTATCACTTATTTTATGGTTAAAATAAAATTCACAATTTAAAATATCAGAATGCTCCAGTTAATATCCTACCTTGCATGTTCCTGAACTCCCACAATCTCTACTTCACTATCTGAAGAGGCAATATTAATTTCTTCATTCAGTGGTGCATTGCTGGCAGATGTTTTTTCACTTGTTAAGAATCCTGGATCCAAATGACCTGAGAGAGAAGGGGAGGAAAAACAAGCACTACAGTTTGATTCTAACAACAGCAGAAACAACTCACTGACAGATTTCTTATTCAAGTTTAATCAAAGGAACAGAATAGCCTTATAAAATCTTGCCACAGCAAAACTGTTATCCAAGTCAAATAAGCTGGGGCAATGTTCTGTTTTTGTTTTTTCTTTTTTTTTAAACTGGTTTTAAAAAAATAAACAGAATACATGCTCATGCTGTATATTCAAACAACATGGCAGTACATAAAAGCATGAACTCAGTCTCTCACTCTCTAATCCTGTTCCTTAGGAGAAAAAACTTTAAATACTTTGGTAAATAATCCAAATATATATAATTTTTTTTGCATTCAACTCCAGTCTGCTTTTAAATGATGTACATAACCACCTAGAGGGCAATAGGGTTCTCTACTGCTTATTATTTTAATAGAACAAAATTCTAAACCAGAAAAACTCAAAAGCAAAAATGGCATAATAACAGAAGTAATCATTAACATATTTATACTAGGATACTGTGTGAAAGATTTAACATTTTTCTGTCTAAAGGAATGCAGATTTGAGAAAATCTGACTCAAAACTAAATCTAAAAGGGAAGGCTACAGATAGCCCACAATTTTGGCTCTAAGTAACTGAAACATAACTTGTACATTGCTGACAGTTATCACTAGACAGAAACAAACCACATACCCTGGAGCAGCACTACAGTTTGTGGCACTGGGGCATGTAAGGACTTTTTCACAATGGTCTTCATGAAGCACATATTATATGATGCAACTAAAACACACTGGACATCAGAGAAAACATGAACTTTACAGAACTCTCTCTCAATAAAGACTAACAGTGTAGCATCAACATGGTTCTAAAGACAATTCTAGCATGAGTTAAAATAATTTAGCCTGTGTACCCAGCTCTTGAATGTTCTGACTTAAAAGGATGAATTTTAGAATACCTAAGAGTTAACATGGAATAAACAGAGTTGCAATGGGTACAAATTTTCATTTACTCTTTAAAGGGTATTTTTACTTAAATATATTGTCATCTGATACAAAAGTATTTCTCCATATTTAAAAAAAAGTTATTCATGACACCTCATACAAACTAAACCAATGTAAAGAAAATAAAACTTTATACCTACATCTCTCCGTTTTCCTCCCTTTATTCACTCCAAATGCTACAAGGTCACTAACAAATCTTGTACTTTCATCCATTCTGTCAACTTTCAGTGTAACCCTTTTGCAAAGCTATAGACAGTCTCAAAGCAAACCTTACAATTTTTATACTCTCTGACCCTGTAAATTTATCCCTGAGAATTTACCCTAAGGGAAAAGAGTTTAAAAAAGAAAAATATTATGATGTCCAAAAGATATTATTCACTGCAGTGCTATACAGAAACTTTGAGAAAATAACATACAAAGTATCACATAATACACTATAAAAAACATGGAGGTGCTGGGTAAAAGTGTAAAAAAGTAATCGAGTATGATTGTGCATCTTTTTCATAATTCTTTAATACTATTTTTACCTTTTCTTCAATTGAAAATGGTGTACATACATATGAGAAAACAGAAGATTAAAAAGCTTAAAATGGCTTCTAGCTACAACCAGTGCTTGAGATTATATCACAATCTGCATGGGTTTGTAATCTAGACAGGATCCTATGTGGCTCTGGCATTGGGCACATATCTTTGAACCTTACATGTACACAAGAGGTGACATTCACCAGACCAAAGCCAGTTTTGTTAAATCTAGGGTGGTTGCTTAAATGGAATTTGGTTAAGTCTAGATTTGGTAAATCTAGATTCTTGCTCTGACCCCTAATACCTTGCTTCAGGCCAAGTCTTTTATCCAATTTCTACGTCAGTGGTTTAGTTATGGCTACCATCATGCACACTGTTCCAACTGTACTCTAGGGAGGAATATAAATTGATAATCTCTTTCTCAAGCCTTCAACTTGTCCATATTCAATAATTCAAACAATCTTTACTGTTTACTTCATCTGTTTGTTCCTACAACAAATACTTGTTTATGACAACCTATACATTGTGCTAGGTGCTAAGAATCAACGTGCTATAAGGCAGGCATAACCTCTGTCCTCAATGAGTCTACAACGTGTTCAGGGGTAATAAAAAGCAGCCCATTGCACTATGGCTTAAAAACTGCTCTTTATCTGCCATATGAAAATAAAGAGTAGCCTGGAGACAGAGAAAAGGCACATTCCCCAGACTTGAGGGTGAACAGGGAATCTGACCTCTTAGGGAAGAGTAGACATAGGTGAAGGAAAGTAGCGTAAGAAACATTTCTTTGCCCTTTAGTGTATAAAAGTTTGGTGAGATTTGGGGTAATGGTACCAAAAGAGTAGTGAGAAACAAGGCTAGCAAAGTCAGCAGAGATCAGATCATGGTAAGGAGTCTGCACTTGAGAAACAGTAAGCCACTAAAGGATTTAAGCTGAGGAATCAGTGACATGATCTGGTTTTGCATGTTAAAGAATTTCATTTTAGAGTGTAAAAATGAAACTGATAGCAGGACAGGAAATAACTGGAGGCAAGGAAATTAGTTAGACTGCTGAAGTTTCCTAGGTGAGAAATGACTGGCTGAACTAGGGAAGGAACAAAATGGGGAATACTCTGTGCACGTGCACACATATGGAGGGTCAAGTACTGTTGGGAAATCAGGCAAACGAAAGAACACACAAAGTCAAAAATGATACTTAGATTTCTGATTTAGGTAACTGTATAGAGTTATAGTGCCATTCAGTACACTAATGAAAGGTGAGGGTGACTGCTTGGGACATGATGACAGTGTGCCTTTACAGTGTCCAACAGACAGTTGGAGGTACTGTTCTAAAGCTCAGATCCAAGGTCTAGAGAGGAAATATAGAATTTGTAAGTCCTCAGCAATAGGTGAGACTATTAAGGTCATCCAGAGCAGTGAAGGGGGCCTAGAATAAAACCCTGATGAATACCAATGATTAAGAGATAGGCAGAGAAGGGGAGTTCATTCAAAGGAAAGCGAGAGGTAGAAAGAAAACACAAAGATGTGAAGCCACGAACACCAAAGAGCATTTCTAGGAAGAAGTATTTAACAATGCCCAATGAAGAGGTCAGATAAGAAGAGTGACTAAGTAGATACTACTAGAAACAGTGATAAGATTATCATAGATGACCTTGGCAAGGGGAACCTCAGGAGTGATGGGGCTGAAGCTCATGTAACAAAGCAAGCTGAAGAATAACGGGATGGAAGGAAGAGCAGACAAATTTTAATTTTTTTTAAAAGATGACTGGTAAGGGAATCGCAAGGGGAACCTCAGGAGTGATGGGGCTGAAGCTCATGTAACAAAGCAAGCTGAAGAATAATGGGATGGAAGGAAGAGCAGACAAATTTTAATTTTTTTTTAAAGATGACTGGTAAGGGAATATTAACCCTTGACTTGGTGTTGTCACCACCACGCTCTCCCAAGTGAGCTAACCAACGTCCCTCCCTATATAGGGACCCGAATCCTTGGCCTTGGTGTTATCAGCACCACACTCTCCCAAGTGAGCCATGGGCTGGGCAGGCCCAGGGCAGACAATTTTAAGAAGTTTGGCTTTGGAGGAAACGGAGATAGTATGGGACTGAACAAGGAAGAAGAGTTTGAGGAAGGAGGTGTGTGTATGTATGTTTAGTTTTTAAAGATGGGAGAGAGTCGAATATATTTAGGGGGGAAAAAAGGCAGAGAATAAACAAGTTTGATGGCAGAAAGCTGAGGTTATCTTGATCTGTGAAGAATGTGGCAAGGCCAGCTGCAAAGCATAGTTGTGGGTAGGGTAGTAGGGAAGGGGTTTAGAAAAGTTAAGAAGCCACTATGAAAGAAAGAATGCCACCTAAGGAAAAGGGCGAACTGCTGGGCAGCACCAAGAGCCAGGATGAAGCTGCAGATTAGGAAATTAAGGCATCCCTTAACTCTGCAACTACGTCATTTCCCCCAGCTATGCTTAGCAGTGTGGATATAGACTCGAAGTGTGCATCCAGGGATTGGAGGAAAGTCAACTCTACAACGGATCGGAGGATATTGGCAAAGGAGAGTTGGGCCTATGTAGGCTTGATAGGGAGGGCAGTGAAGCCTGGACATAACTGATAAGGGGCTTGGAAGACAGGTAAAATAAGGCAGAAGAATAGTGTGGTGACAGTAACAGTGTGAGAGGGTAGAAAAGCCCCCAGTGGAAAAGGAGACAGCAGTTAGGAGAGGTAGGAGGAAAAACAATGGTTTTGAGAAGAAAAGCACATTTCTATCCTCTTAGCTACCCACAAAACACAAGCCCTTGAGATCATCCATATACTCCTGACTTTTCCCTCACCCTGTTTTTGTTCTCCTTTGCTCCAGCTACCCACTACTCACTTTCCAATGTTTTTTCCACTGTCCCCTGGAATGCCAATTCCATGGTAAAGTACACTGAACTTTCTCTCCACCTCCTTGTCGAAACCTCACTTTCCTGACAATGTTGTCTCTCCTGCAATCCTCTGAAGAGGAAGCCCAACCACCATTTTTGGGATCAGGCTCACCTATAAATTACTGTCCTCAATCCTCATGTACCAACAACGAGCAGACCCTATCTTCCAAGGGGTACCCTTTCACTGTCATACATTGACTCCAGGACAGTTTCACTCATTCACGCAACATAGCAGGCACCTGACTTAGTCTCTCTCTCTCTCTCCACTTTCAAGTCCTGTTATCAAGAATACTCATTTTTTTATGTGTACAAACACCTCAAAACTGTCCTTGCCTACTCACTAAGAAACAAGGAGCTGAGCTCCAAAGAGGCACTTTTCAAAGTCAATTGTGGTAGACTCACAGCAAAGGGGTCAGTCTGTTACAGTCCCAAAAACAAATAAGTGAATTAAATTAAACTACATTAAAAAGGCAGATTGTAAGAGTCACACTTTTCTATAACCAAACTCTTCCTCGATTACTTGATACTTTTAAACAGTAATTTAAAAAGCAGAACACA